GTAAGAACTACATGCCCTCCCTCCCCCAATTCAGTCAAAATCCTCCATGATAGCAGGACTAGAGCTGCAGACTCCCTTCTCCCTCACTGAGTCCCCAGCCCGGTCGTCTCTCTGATATATTCAGGGTCTAGAACAAACCACAGTGTCAGTACTGCAGTGCGAGAGCCACAATGCGGTGATAGTGTGTGGGCAACTTGACCTCCAGGAGATTTTAAGCAATACAATACACTGCCAGGCCTCTTCCTTCCTGTGAGAGAATACTATTTGACTACAAAGCAGAATTTTGCAACTGTATCTTTCATGCCTCCTGCTGTGAACTTTCCTCCAATATCCTGCCTCTGGAGAGACATAGTCTCAAATCTTTTATTGTACGAAGAAATACAGATGCCCAAACTACCCAAATCAGGTGGATGTGTTAATGAGTTCTAAGGCGTCCCTGTCCATGCAGAGACTTTTAGCAGATGCTGGCAAAGCTCTTTCATGTGTCCCCTCCGAGTCACCACTACAGAAACACAAGTAGCCATTTTCTCTGCTTCAGGATCTTCCTCTGCTTTCTGCTTTCAATGGGCGTGCCTTCTCCTCCCAAGTGCATCTGTTTGCCCATCTCATTTTATTTGACTTACTTATTTTTGGCTTTTCCAGACAGGATTTCTCTGTGCAACAACCCAGGCAGTCTTGGAACTCTTTTTGTAGACCAGGCCTGCCTCGAACTCACAGACATCCACCTGCCTCTGCCTCTAGAGTGCTGGGATTAAAGGCGTGCGCCACCACCGCTCGGCTTGTTTGCCTATTTTAAAATAAATGTATCTTTCGAGCTCCTGTCAATCAGTGGGGTTTTTCTCCTAACTCTGTCCGTTTCTAGTTGCAGGTTCAAGTGTGGCATCATGCTTGTCTTCATGCTGTCCATCATTGATACTCAAATATGATGATCCAGGGTCTGTGTAAGCAGGCGGAGGTACTTGTCTTCCCCTTCCATACAACTCCCACAAACTACAGTATTGGTGAAATTATTAAGGCCACTCCACGTAGTTAAAAGGGAGGTTTATTTTGTGGGGTAACTCACAAGTGAAGGGATAGGTTACAGGGTCTGGGAAAGGTGAAGCGCAGTCTGGCAGTGTTCTCTGGAGAACTCTGCTCGGTCTACCTCCAGCGTCCTGGGTCCAGGAACCAAGAGAGCTGGCCCATCTGGATCTCAGGTCTTCAGGGTCCTCCTCAGCCCCCGCCTTGTAGGCGTGACAGTTACCGAAGCCTCAATGAGGGTTGGAACTTCCAGATCAAAGCTGGAATGGCTACCCACTACACTACAGGACAAATATATTTTTGAATAAAGATATAAATACTTCTTATCTATAGATGTTTATAGTCAGACTGAAGGTCCAAGCCCATCCTTGGGGACAAAAGTTAACCTAAAGCCATCAGCCAATTGGGCCATTTTATAGCCTCAGAAATGACAAGAGAAGTGATTTGTTTCAAGGTTACCCAAAATCTTTTGTGGTTTGTTTTTCAAGTCAGAGACTCATGTCTCCCAGGCTCATCTTGAACTTGAGGATGACCTCATGACCCTCCTGTCTCCATCTCTCAAGCGCTGGGATTAAAGGCCTGTGGATACATCAGCCCCACGCCTGGTTTTATATGGGCTTGGGGATCAATCCCAGAGCTTTGTGCATGTTTGACAAGCAAGCACTCTACCACCCGGCTTCGCCTCCAGTCCCCAAATTTAGCCCTCTCCAGGAGAAACAGAGCACTTCTTAGAAAAGCTCTGGATATTGTTACTTGACTCTTGCATTCATGTCTTTGCCAGTTGTGAGCCAAGCAGGCACCGTACTTGTCTGATAGACAACTCTACTCAATAGGGATCTCAAGGTAGTTACCAAACTAGGTAGTTACCAAAATCACCAGAATCAGCCACTCTAGCCAAGGAAGAGACACAGACACACTGGCAAAGGCTGCAGAGGCCCAGAGGGTAGGAAGCAGGTGTAGACAGAGGCAAAGACTGTCCCCCATAGATTATTGGATGTGAGCTGGACTTTAGACCAGGTGGTTCTGATAAAGGGTAGTTTTGTGAATGGTTGCATACCCTTCCTACAAGGTAATAGGTCACAATGACCGACACACAACACACACACACAGCGTGGTGGATAATAAAGGCAAGAATCAAGCCAGGCCTCTAGGAGGCCTAGTGGCCCAGGCTCATAATCCCAATTACTTGAAAACTGAAGCAGAAAGATCCAATGTTCAAGACTGCCTGGGCTACAAAAAAATGTTCAAGGCCAATCTATGCCAATCTTGAGACCCCATCTCAAGAAAATTTAAAAAACTGTCTTAAGGGACAAAGATAGAGCTCAGTGCTAGGACACCAGCCTTATCATGAGACCCTCGGTTCCATTCCCAGTACCATTAAAAAAAAAAATCGGTCTTAACTGGCAAGAGCAAAGAAGAGACTCATAGAACTCTGGCCAAAGGCTTGGCCTTCCATCAAGGATTCCAGAACCTTCCAAACAACCTACCATAGAAAGCCATTCAGAAACTTCCAGGTCAGCAGCAATGTTGTGTGGACAAGGTCATCAATGACCTTTCCTGTCGCTGGATCTAGTCAAGCTGGGGGGAGTCACAGAGGGAAACACTTCCCAACTTGTCAGTGAGGAAACAGGCCCACAGGGAGGAAATTACACGTGGAAGTCCGCGTGGGCAGTGGGGAATTGAAACAGGTTCCACATGCTGACAAAACTTGTGATCCCAAGTGAGTCTTCCTGCTGTAAAGGGTTCACTCCTGGTACTGGGGAGTTTCTCCCTCATAAAACTATCTGGCCGGGCGATGGTAGCACAGGCCTTTAATCCCAGCATATTGGGAGGCAGAGCCAGGTGGGTCAAGGCCAGCCTGGTCTACAGAGCGAGATCCAGGACAGGGACCAAAACTACACAGAGAAACCCTGTCTCGAAAAAAGAAAAAAGAACTATCTGGGCCAAGAGAAGAGAATAGAGGTAAATTGCTAAATATGAGAAAAAAGGAGAGAGAGAGAGAGAGAGAGAGAGAGAGAGAGAGAGAGAGAGAGAGAGAGAGAACGAGAACGAGAACGAGCAGAGCTCCATGCTGTCCATGGGCCCAGGTTCCTTGTGGCTCTTTGCTCTCTCTGGACACCAGGTGACACCAATACTTAAAACAATTAGATTTAAAACTGTTCACTCCTGGGTTTTTGTTTTGTTTTAACCTACCACTGTCTCCCATGTGACCACCTGCCCATGGGAGGTGCAGGGGGCATCAGGAGCCCTTGCAAAGATGGAACCAGCAGACCGTGACCTTGGGGGAGTCCCTTCCTTCTCTGGGTGCCTCTCTGGCCCTGGAAGCAGGACCAGCCTCACTGCCTGGTTTCATCCGTTCCTGTGCTCAACTTTCCTGTAGGGCCACCCTAAGAAGGAAGGGACCTGCCTTGTCCGTGTATAAACCGCCTGGTGGTGGAGAGGGGGGTGCTTCCATGTACTGAGAAGACCAGAGCCCGAGGAACCCCCTTCTCTTGTGTGCTGCGGTCTTGCATCCTGCCTGTGGCTACCCTAAATTTGCAGAATTTCCTTTCTTGTCCAGCTTTGATTCCATTGATGGGATTAGGCATCCCCCACAGCCATGTCCTTTGAAGTGGTCAGGGGGTAGCAGGGGGATTTCAGGCCCAAGTAGCAAATCTTAATCTCTGGAGGGCTTCTCTGGGATCAGTGCTTGGGTAAACCCATTACATCTCTGCCCTTTCATCCCCCCAGGACACTGGCTCCTCCAGCCTCCTGAGTCTCACAGATCCGAAGGGTTTGTCAGAGAATCGCAGAGTGCCTCCAACTCAGGCAACTTCCACCAGCCATGCTAGGGTATCCTCCTTTCTGCCCCTCTAATCCAGGCTCCGAAGTAATTAGGGATTACAGAGGCCTGAAGCCTGCGACTGTCCCCTTGAGGGCACAGAGCCTTTTCTGCTCTGGAGTCCCTTCAGAACTGCTGTCTTTCTAGCACCTGCCCCTGTGAATCTGTCCGTCCTGCAGGGGGTTGAGGGGGAGAACATCGGTGCCAGACGCAGAGAAAGCTCTCAGTCCCGCCGCATGATTTAAAGCATGCTTTGGGTAATGGGGCCAGGAAAGAGAAGATAGGAAAGTAGCCAGTATCCAGAGCAGAAGTGTCACGTTATTTTAAGTTAAATGACTCCAAGCCTCCACCTGAAGATGGTTAGGGAACTCAATCTCGGTGATTATTTGGCTTCTCTATGGCCCCTGGAATCAATCTTCAGCTGACTTGTTTTGGCAGAAGCCTACGGATGGTCCACACCGGCCCCGGATAAACACACAATTAACCACTCGCGCGCTGGTAGAGAGGGAGGAGACGGAAACAGGTAGCGGGTCAGCTTCGGGAAATGCTCCTATCTGTACAACAGCAGCTTCTCTGTCTCACCCTTCAAGGAACCCAGCTTTTCAAAAGGTTCTCTCCCCGAGACCTACGCCGGGTACTTTAAATGTATCATCTCCTGGGTCTGCCACGGAGCCCTCAAAGGCTGTCCCTGCCTAGGTGGAGGGTGGGGAGACTGAGGCCGGCTGCAGGGCGCTGCACCGCGGCGGGGGCGCGGCCTGAGAGCAGGGCGGCCGGCAGGGGGCTCCCGGCGCCGGTCTTCGAGGGAGGAAGCGCCGGCAGCGGATCGGACAGGCCAGAGGAGGAAAAGGGAAAATTACTGGGGCTCGGGGTAGGGGGCGGGAGGTGGGGAAGGGCTGCGTGACTGGGTGGAAGGCACTCGAGACTGTCGAGTCGAGCGTCCAGTGTCCAGATCCTCGGCCCAGGGGCGACTCTGGAGGGGGAGTCCCCACCCCACACTCCCCGCAGGGTCTTCCCGCTTGGGCCGCGAGCAGGAGCAGGCGTCTCGGCCGGGGGCGGCGCCGGCGAGGGGCGGACGGAGGGGCGGGCTGGGGCGGAGCGCGGTCCGCAGGGCTCGAGGAGGCTGTGCTGGGCGGGCGCTGGTCGTGTCGGTCCTCTGGGAGCCACGGAGCGCGCAGCCTTCCCTGATGTGTCACCAGCACGTGGAGCCAAGTCGCGCCGAGAGAGCCAACGAGAGGAACCCCGCAACTTTCGAGGGGCCCTGCTGCAGCGCACACGTCCTCCCCGGCGCGGCGGGGGTCCCGCGGCGGTCCCCAGGTCCCTGTGCAGGTCTAGAGAGGCCGCGGATCCTCGGCCAGGCACGCACGGAGCTACGGGAACATCGGGGCGCGCGGGCCGGGCTGCGGCCACCGTGCGGGAGGAAGCAGCTTGGGTTCCGAGGCGCCGCGGTTCGGTCCCGCCTCGCCGGGCTGGGCGCAGGTAACAGGGCGGCTCGTAGTTGGGCCTCGCGGGCACGGCGTGCGAGCGCTGGGAAGTTTCTCGGTGTGCAGCCCTCGCGCTCGGGTGGATAGAGGGCCGGGGGCGCACACCTCCTCCCGCGTCCCCAGCACCGTCTTTCGGGCCGCGTGCGCTGTGCGTCGTGTAACCCTTCGAGGGCTGGTTTCGGAGCCCGCGGGCCGAGGCCGGGCGGGGCAGGTGGCTTTTTTTTTTTTTTTGCGGAACGGTCCCTGAGCCTCCGCGGTGCCAAGATCGAACGGCGGGACTCAGCCCCGGGCAGCCCATCAGGGGCGCACGGCACCCCGAACTCCAAAGCGGACGGGAGCTGAGAGCTGGGTCTTTGCGGGCAAGGTGAGGGTGTCTGTTCAACTGGCCTACAAAGTCCCAGTCCTCGGTCCCCAAGACCGGCATTTTCTCCACGCTCCTCGCCGCCCGAGGCCGGCCCCTTCTTGGTCCTCGTTCGTTCCGGCTGGGCCCCCACCTCCCATGTCCACCAGGGTGGAAGGACTGGGAAGGCGCGCGCCGCGGGGTGTCTGTGCGGTTTGGGGGGGGAATCTGTGCTTCGGCAGAGAAATAGCAACGCACTTGAAAGTGTGAGTCGGCATCCTCCTGGCAGAGCTGGAACCTTGCTGGGGGTGACCTGGGGTCGGGGGAGAAAGGGCTTTTTTCTCTGGACCAGCCTGCCTTGCTGTATGTATGGCGCCAACCTTGAGCTTGGGGGTGGGGAAGATAGAGCCTGATTTCTCGACTTGCTCCTGGGGAAGCGGCCTGGATGCTGAGTCCCTGCCTCACCACTCCATGTCTTAAATGCTGAATCTGTGGACACATCTCTAAGCAGTCTTTCGCCCACTTTCATGTAACCCAATACTGAGCACCATCAAGTTTTATGCTGAATAAAAGCTCCTCCTTCTTTAAGCGCTATTGCTCGTAAAACTTTGCTTATCCCCCCCCCCCCCCCCACACACACACCCTACTCACACAAACACACAAATCCATGAAAAGTCTTGAAATCTCGGGTCCCTGAACCTGGCCCCTTTTGTCTTTATGTGTTGTGTGGCTGTCTGGGCAGCTTTGAAAGAAACATTTAGGAGCATGCGCTTAGGAGACTTGAACTCTGTGTATGAAGGGCAAGTTGACCAAATAGGGCACCGCTGGCCCCCTTCTTCCTGGCATTGGGAAATGAGAGAGGTTTCTAGAAGCTTAGAGGCAGGAGAAGGAAGAAACTAGGTTGGCCCACCACTTGGGCAGTTGTACAAAGACCATATAAGAGGTATTCCTCCCCCCACCCCCCCCAGGCTCCCCACACTTGCAGGCCACGTGCAAAGTAGTCCCTGTACAAATCATACGCGGGCTGCTGTCCCTGTCCCTTGGTGGCACGTAGCAGTGAGAACAGGAGAGGGAGCCAGGTGTGGAGGGAAGTCTGGATTGGGCCGGTGAGCCCCTGCAAGGATCATGGCCTGAGTTTTGTCCATGCAACCTTCGTCCCACAGGCTCTAGGTGGTGGAATGTGCTATTGCCTGAAGTATGGAAGAAAAGAGTTCCTTTGACCATGGTGTAGATTTCCTAGCATCTTAACAAATTCCATTTTGAGACGAAACTGTTTAGGAGTGGAAATGGTGGGCACTTTAACTGGAAGCCTGGTTCCTAATTAAGAAAAATGCTTTCTTTGGGCTTGCTGAATCAGGCTGGAAAAAAACACATTACCCTGTTGAACCAGTGCCTCTCCCAGCCCCCCCGGCATAGGTATCGAAAAGTAAATGACGTGGAAATCTCCATAGTATTTTGTGGTCATAAACCATCCACAGAAGTGAGCTGGAGTCGTGGGATGCAGAAAAGCCGGTGGACCTGGCTGCTTTGCACCCACTTGGAGGGGACAAACTTTGGAATGTAGGACATAAGTCTTTGGGACACAGAAGCCCTCCAGCATCGGTGGCCTCTAGTTCCTCCTCAGGCCGTGGCTGGCCAGGTGTTGGGGAGTTTTTTAGGTAATTATTTGGTCCTTCATTTCTTTGGGGGATGTGAGTGATTTTTTTTTTCCCGGTGGGGGAGATTCTTTTACAGGAAAACAAAAAGGATTGACTGAACTAGGCACTAGGACTGGGCTAGCCTGTCCTCCAGCAGCAGCTGATTTCTACTTTGATTCAAACAAATGCATTTAGCAAAAGTAAATGTTACAGTTGAAGGCTTTGCAGCTCTGCTGTCTACTGGCAGACACCTCCCTCCTGGCCCCCGGCACCACACCCTATTCCATCCTTGGAAGATGGGTACCTCAAGGATTCTCCAGAGGAAGTGCCTGGATGGCCAGGCCTGGTGTGTTGGAACCTTCTTCAGGAAGCAGCTAAATGCAAGGTGGAAAGCTGATGGGAGGATTTTAGCCAGACCTCCAGGGAGACCCATGCTGGACTCAGGTACTGCTTCCTGGGAGGAAACTTTCATTCCCTCAACTCTTAAGTAAATTGCAACCCTGTGAATAATTAACCTCACCCTTCTAGTTTTTTTTTTATTTAAATAAAATCCCAACTTATTAAAGATTAAATATCAGTTTTTGCCTCGCAGGATAGGAATGAGGAAAGAGATACTGGGAGAAGCCAGTCCACTAGTCTCTACCTTCAAGTCTCCTGGCAACTTTGAAAGCTTTTATTTTTATTTTTTTTTTTATTATTTTATGTGTATGGGTGTCTTGTCTGCATGTATGTCTGTGTATCACATGCATGCCTGGTGCCCGTGGAGGCCAGAAGAGGGTGTGACTGGAGTTACAGATGGTTGTGAGTGGCTTTATGGGTACTGGGAAGGAGCTGCCAGTACTCATAGCTGCTAAACCATATCTCCAGCCCTAGACGTCTAATTTAGAAATGTTCCCAGTGTTTTGTAGTTGACTACACTACTGGCCTCTGAGTCTCTTCCTGGGCTCTCTTCACTGCCTCTTTGTCCAGAGTGACGCTGTCTGAATTCTCCAGGATAGTGACATTCTACCCCCACCCCTGCACCCCCTTTACCTAGCAGCTGCTTGGCCCTTACTGCTTCACGGGGTTGACTCCCTCCCAGGCTGCTCTGCTCTCCTCTGGAAGGCCGGGAAGTATTTGGCTAGTTTCAGGATGTTCGAAACAAAAGCATGGAGCTCCTAATCAGTGGTAAGTCCCTGAAAGAGAGCTGTGGGAGGAGGGAGGGACCATTTTCATTTCCAGAGGCCACCAAAGCACATGGTGGACTTGGGTGTATTGAGGCTCCAGTTCTGATCCCTCTGTAGTCAGGGTGGCTTTGGCTCGATGGCTTGACTGTACCCCAATTTCTCCTTTGTGAATCAAAGGTTATGAGTCTTACCTTGGGAGGGTGTGGTGAGGCTTATATTTTAAAATGTGTACAGTGGCTGGCACAGCCTGGCAGCTCTCCCACGATTAGTCTGTACACACACACACACACACACCCACTCTGTGAGGTCGGGCGTGTTCATGGTGGTGTGGCCATATGCCCCACTTGTGTTTTGAATATCCCGGTTTCTTCTATCTGTTGGTGGAGAAGGGAGCAGTGTGATGGAGACCTTAGGCCTTTGAGTCTGGCAGGTTCTCCTAATGACTGTTATTTGCTGACACATGCGGCCTTGGGGAAGTTACTTGGTGTACTTCGGGAAGTACACCAGGAACCGTGGCTTCTTGATCAAAAGCTGGGGGTAATATCTGGGAGCCTTTCCGCTGCCTCAGACTCGGTCCTTTGCTTTTTCAGAAAAAAATTAGCATATTTTATTTATTTGTTTGTTTGTTTATTTATTGTATATATGCGGGTATGCCTTCTATCATGCAGCTCCCAGGGATCAGAATCAGATCATCAGGCTTGGCAGCAGAGGACTTGACTTCATTCTTCCCAGCCCTCCTCTGGCTTTTTAGTGGCTGCCCTCTATGTGCTGAGGACTGGACCATCTGTGAGAAAGCTGGCCTCTCCCCCGGACTGCTCACACTGGCTTTTCTGCCAGCCCTGAGAGCAGATGAGGGGAACTGTGGCGGGAAGGGCTTCTCCCAGGGTCTCACAGCTGGCCTTCGTGGCACAACAGCCAGTTCCCTGGCCTTTCTGGGTGTAGCTCCCAGGTCGGGAGCCAGCAAGCCTGAGCTCCAGCCCGGGAGGTGGGAGGTCTGAATTAGCCAGCACAGACCTCAAAGGAACCCTGGCTTGTAGATGTGGTCGCTTTGCACTGTTCTGCACAGGAGTCCATCAGCCGGACAGCCTGAAGACTCCTCTGGGGGGGACCAGCCCCCACACTTATTTACCCCAGGAACTCTTGGGGAATGAGGTTTAAGAGACTTAGTTAGAAATAAGGAGAGAAAAATAGAAAACACAGGATAGACTCGGGTGGGCCTGGATCCTTATCCACTGGCCCAGAACTTTATTCCAAAGGTCTATTTATAACAATGCCCAGGGGTGGGAGCAAAAGACCTCCCCCTTGCTAGTTAGACCCCTACAAACACCTGGTACCCAGGCTCGTGATCCAGTCAACCTCCCATGCAGTCCTGCTGGGTACAGCCACCAGGAAACCTAGTGGGCTCCAACACTCCTCCATCTCTGGCCCCAGCACAATTCATGAAAAGCCCCAAGAAAGACATCTCAATTTCTCTGGTGGCTCCGGGCTGCCTTGCTCACTGGGCTCAGTGACAAGTTCAGCATACTCTATAGGGGAACAAAAGTTTGCTGTATATATTTTTTAAACTGAGATAATCATCAGATGGGGGGTTGTGTGTCAGAATTTCATGAACCTCTGCTTCCCTGTGGCACAATAACGCTTTTATTTAGAATTTCTAAGGCTTTAACTATGCTTCAGTCTCTAGGTGCCTTAACTGGCCCTGCACAGAACGACAGGCAGATGACTTCTCACCCGCTGTGGGTGTACCCTCCCTCCTTTTGGCATGTGCCGGGCAACTGGGGAATTTGGAAATCACTCTGCCCGCCAGCCCAGGAGGACTGAGGAGACGAAGGTGCCCTATGGATCTAGCTGT